TATATATATATATATATATATATATATATATATATATAGCTTATATAGAGCTTTCCATATCCACAAACCAGGGTCTTCACTGGTAAATATAGTCTGGTCTTCTCGCGCAAATTGAAGAAAATTCATCGAGGATGAATAAAAGGTTTTGAGAGTTTATATAGGCCTAGTGCGAGTCGTTAAAAACATGAAATTTCATAATGTACACCTTCCATAAAACTCGGAAATGATATGAGCAATTTCCTGCATATAATTACACTATATAATATATACAAAGTGATAACTTTGTATATATTATATAGTGTAATTATATGCAGGAAATTGCTCATATCATTTCTGAGTTTTATGGAAGGTGTACATTATGAAATTTCATGTTTTTAATGACTCGTGCATGCAGCCTTATATAATGCAATACTGCATGCAGACCAGGAAAGTTGGTTTTATATATCACCAGAGTAACAATTTTCAAGCATGGCATTAGATCTTCTCTGTTGACAATGAATAGATATATGTCGGATACTATATAGGTGAGAAAACGTCGGACCGCACCTCCGCAGTTACATGTTGTAAAAAATTACAATTTATTGCAGTGACACGCTTTCAAGATGATGCATGCATTGGCTTTTTTTCTAAGCGTGATAAGACTCAACCTCAACACTTTAAGCTATAGCATTTTCGTAAGAATTATACAAGAAGGGATTCCAAATTTTCCTTTTTATATGCCTATATATGTATATAATATAAACAACCGAAATTCCTAATAATAGTATAACTCTATCTATTTCAGCAAAACGCCTGTTGCTATACTTGATTTTACAAATTATTATGAAAGTAACATTTTTTTACGAATTATTATGGTTAAGTTTGTTTCGCAGCACTTTTTAAATTTTATATCAGAGATCAGAGATATTATAGAAAATGCCCCCTCATTGCCGATCATCAAATTATAAATTGATCTATATAATATATCTATATATATATATATATATATATATATATATATATATATATATATATATATATATATATATATATATATATATATATATATATATATATATATATATATATATATATATATATATATATATATATATATATATATATATATATATATATATATATATATATATATATATATATATATATATATATATATATATATATATATATTGTTTTTTAATCGCAGCGTGTAGAGGATAATCATCATCCTGTAATGATAATCATTCGTAAACCAGCTGCATTTATTAATATATTCATAACTGAGGTTGCTTAATGGTTTGGAGTTGGCAATATCTTGACTAATCTGTATCATCTCTGCGTGTATAAGTAAGTAGTTATATCCCCCACTGACAATCCACTTTTCACATTATTGAATTATTGAGAATATTAATTTTTGTTGTACAATAGGTTTGCCATTTTATGAAGGTTGCAAAATGCATTTGATTAATAAATCCCATGAGCTAAACCAATGATATTTCCGAAATCAAAAATCGTTTATACAATACAGGTTCTTTCCCGCAATACAGGCTCTTTCCCGCTTCCCCTTTGATATTAGGACGCGCTGATTGTTTTGTCTGCCGGTGCAAATAATATTATTATAATATTATTTTTACATATTTACCAGTGAAGACCCGAGTTTTCATGTGGATATGGATAGCCATATATATAAGCTTTGATAAATAAGTTATCGTTTATACTAATATTGTGCCTTTATCAGGGCGATAACAGGGTGACATAAAAACGATATCGTCACTGATATCGTTTTTTGTCACTGATATCGTTTTTTTGTCACTGATATCGTTTTTTGTCACTGATATCGCTTTTTGTTGCGCTATATTTGTCGCTGTCAAAATAAAAATGGCTGACTCAGGGTTCGTGTTTTAGTTTATATATATATATATATATATATATATATATATATATATATATATATATATATATATATATATATATATATATATATATATATATATATATATATATATATATTGAAATAATCGTAAAGATTGAGTGGCGCGCTGAGCTTATATTTTATACAGTATGAAGCACTGGAATACTCTTTGAAAGTATGGCTCCAATTAAGGTAACAACTGCATGCATGTTATAGAATGCGGTTTATATGTGTGCGGTGTTATTCTTCCAATTTCAATGTTGCCGCTTTTCTCTATAGTTCGGCTATCCTACCTATTCGAATTCGCTTTTCATACAGCCCGCTACCACAATATATGTTAGACTATAGTTACGTTCACACTACGCTGGAGCGAAGTTGTTTGAAAACGTCACTTTTGCCGTAACATTAATTTGAGCATGCATGGTTTCTAAACGGAGCGAGATGAAAACTAAAACGGGGCGTGCTTGACGGCGTTTATGCTCCACTTCAGTGTTTTTTGATTAATTGGATTTTAATTTTTTCCACTATAATTTTAGCCTGTTTTGCGATACTGTATCAAAACTCTAACGGCTTAGTGTGGACAGAACTTAAAACGAGGCGTCATTCTTTCCCTCCGGTATGGTCATGTGAACGTACTCTTTAACGCCTCTTTTTAAACCATGGGTGTTTTCGGAAACAAACTTTTTATCGAAACAAACTTATTAATATAGCATTGAGCTGACACGTTTTGGTTGCATGTATATTTAAATTAAGTGTAATTCATTATGCAAAAGACCTCAGTTGAGGTTTCCTCGCCGGATTCCCGTAGTTGCCAATAAATTAAATAAAAAGGGTGTTACTTCCAACATTCCGTCGGGATTTTTGTCCTTTCTTCTTTTGTCGTTGTCATGCCGAGTATATGCATGTTAGCTCTCATTTCCTTGCATCATAATTAGATCTTATTTAAATTTTACACAGTTTACCCATCGCGTCAGACCAACTCTCCTATATAGGCTTCAATTGCAATAACATTTTGAATTGCGCATTTAAATTTATAAAGGGCATGATGTTACTAACAATGCAAGTTAGTCATTATGTGCACATCATGCACTCTCTGGTCAGACTGCATGAGTTTATATTTCCTACTTATAACCCTCGGTGCAGTTCGTGTTAGCATGAAGAAGAAAACACTCCTCGTCAGAAAGGTAGTAGGAAGTGAAATTAAGATTAATATTTTTTTCTTCAGTTATACAAGGAGCGTTATCGATTTCTCGGCCACCACAGCTGAACGAAACTGACGAGTTTCGCTTAATGCAAATGTTATTTGGCGGTTATAACATCTCCTCTGTACGACCGGTTAAAAACAGCACGAAACCAGTAAAAGTGGAATTTCAAATGAGGCTGAGCAGACTTGTTAAAGTGGTTAGTTAATGTTTTAGTATGTTCAGAATGCTTGATTATATGCCAGGAACTTTTGTTTACTACGCTTTTAACACCATCTGAGATTAATGCAAAATACTTGTAAAGCACCGTGTGATTGGAATTGAATCTGAATTTAGACTAGTCTCCTATGCAAACCTAGTTAGCTAATTCAAACTGGAAATTGACTGGATTTGGAGAGGTTTCGAGTCAACCTTTACTTGTCTTATCGAGATTCTTCGGCTAATTCATGATCAACGTCGTGCCCAGGCTCTTACCTCTTTGGAGAAAATACCCTGGTAGGAGCTGGTCACGTGATATACTAAAATCTAGCAGATTTCTAATTATCTATTTCCGATTCCTTTAAAGCTTGCAAAACAAAAATGCAAGTTACAAAAGTATAAATATCAAATATTTATCATCATTATCAATTAATAATCTGGTAGATTTTGGCAGATCACGTTACCAGGGTCTTTCCTCTACAAGAGGTAAGAGCCTGGAAACGAGGTTGATTCATGATCCGAAAACGATTCGAAGGTCGATACGAATGTGTTGTGTCTGTTGGGTTTGCTGGGTCTGGTCAACCAAGCTCATACATCATATAATCATATTCTTATATTTCTCAGAATTCTAGGGAGATGACGCTCGTGACTGATGTATGGATCACCCAGGTATTAGACTTTAAATTAATAGAGCTATAGGTAAAAGATATTGGCTGACAGTTAAGACCTGAAGTTCGATAGGAGCCAAATCATTGTGATTTATTAGGTACAGTGCGACTGTATAAGTATGCTGATAGAGTGCTTTCGAATCACTGTCATACGTCGATTTTCACAGAGTTCTCATAGTCCTTGAATATATTGAAAACTCCTTGAATCCCGCGGGGTCTTTGAAAATCTTTGAAAGTAAACATAATAAAGGATCTAGAATGTTCTGGAATGGAGTTGTGATGGTATTTCCTGACGACAAAGCCACGAATTATACCAGTTAAGGTGGCTCGCTACAGTTTATAGAAATGTTGAAAATGCGTAAACTAGATCACCTTTTTGAAGAGGTGATGCTCTTTACAAATCGAAATTTGTATATTATATATACAGCGACAATCAAACAGTCGAAAATTGGTCAGAAAAGTGACGTCACCACTGTTGCTATGGCAACATTGACGATTCAAGATGGCCGATATTTTGGCTTTGAACGCATTTTACTTTAAAAAAAGGTCGGTTACCCCCATTTTTTATTTCAGAAAACATTTTCTTATAGTGCAATGCACTATCTGACTAATTTTAAAAAAAATTCTGTAATGCAAAAAAAATTTATTTCGAAAAACCATGTTTATAAATTTTTTTAAAATTTGGCATTACAGAATTTTTTAAAATTGGTCAGATAGTGCGTTGCACTATAAGAAAATGTTTTCTGAAATAAAAAATGGGGGTAACCGACCTTTTTTTAAAGTAAAATGCGTTCAAAGCCAAAATATCGGCCATCTTGAATCGCATTGTTGCCATAGCAACAGTGGTGACGTCACTTTTCTGACCAATTTTCGACTGTTTGATTGTCGCTGTATATATAATATACAAATTTCGATTTGTAAAGAGCATCATCTCTTCAAAAAGGTGATCTAGTTTACGCATTTTCAACATTTCTATAAACTGTAGCGAGCCACCTTAAATAAGCCACTAATTTGAAAATAAAGCAGCTAAATTAATATGTGAATTCAATTTTTTAATTTTCTATTCTCACTTTACGTGTAATTTTGTCACATTTCTTGTATATTATTTGTCTGAGTGCTCTGTCCTTTGGATCATTGAAGGTAGCTTCCTTCCTAATATTCACTTCAAAGATATCAATAAAATAAAATAAAACGAGTACTCTTTGCGGACAAAACATTCGAAACTCTCGGTTGTCGACCGTCTTGTATGCGTGATCCTTACACTTAATTTACCCGAATCGTATCACCCCGGGAATATGATCGAAATCACCCGGCCCGCTGCATTTAATACCACGATTCATGTAGGGGTGATTCGATTACAAAGGTCATGCTCACGTGATCAAGTGGTTAGCGCACTTGCCTTTCACCTCTGAGGCTGCAGGTTCGAATCTCACTAAGTACCTTCTCAGTGCGACTCGAACCCAGTCCCCATGTGAAAAGAGTAAAAGTCAACGCTCTGCCGAACGCCGTGGGTTTTCCCCGGGTACTCCGGTTTCCTCCCACAGGGAAAAGTTGACAGGGTGGGTTAGGTAAAAAGGGCCCACAGTAATTGGCATATGCTGTTGTGGTGACCCTGCCTTAGTTGGCGAAGCTAATAAAAACAAAAAATAAAAACAAAAATATATATATATATATATATATATATATATATATATATATATATATATATATATATATATATATATATATATATATATGAGAGAATATATATAATCGTGATATATATATATATCTGTATCTGTATATAGACGTACCCGTACCCGTAAATCGGGGAATAACTTGTAACACAAGAAATCCGAGATACTCTGGCGTGAGAAGACCGATCAGAGAATGGCAACTTTCGCTATTGAGGTTCGCCATAAATTGTTGAAAACTTTGACCAGCATATGTGCATTATTTATTTGGGTAAGATGTTGAAAATTTGTACTATTTAAACGGCCCAAAAATAGCAAACAGAAGACACCCGTGCCCGTTTGTCGTTTACGTGTAGACCATGATTTACCGCGGGGAAACGGGTAGAAATTACGGGTAAAATTGCTGACATCAGCAAAAATTGGTAAACAAAATGGCGATACTCGTACCCGTAAACCGGAACCGGGGTAT